GCTTCAGTCAATGATAAGAAGTTCTCGAGGAGATTCTCTGTTAAGTTCTTCCTCAGTAATGGCATTCTGTACAAGCGCAACCACGACTCTCTTTTGCTTCGTTGCATAGACAAGGTTGAGGCAGAAAAGATCATGGATGATCTACACGAAGGCACTTTTGGCACCCATTCTAGTGGGAACACGATGGCTAAAAAGATCCTACAGACAGGGTATTACTGGTATACCATGGAAGCAGATTTCCATCAGCATTCACGAACCTGTCACAAGTGTCAAATCTATGCTGACAAAGTGCATATACCTCAGGTGCCTCTAAACGTCCTGACTACTCCCTGGCCATTCGCGATGTGAGGCATCGATATGATTGGAGAAGTCAAACCTACAACTTCTAATGGACACCGCTTCATCTTGGTGGCCATTGATTATTTCACCAAGTGGGTTGAGGCAGCTTCTTTCGCTTCTGTCACCAAGAATGTTGTGGCCCGATTCATCAAACAAAATCTCATCTGCCAGTATGGTATCCCGAAGAGAATCATCACAGACAATGGTACGAATCTTAAAAATACTATAATCACTGCTCTATGTGCGCAATTCAAGATCCAGCATCATAACTCTTCCCCTTACCGGCCAAATGTGAATGGCGCAGTCGAAGCCGCAAATAAGAACATCAAGAAGATCATACAAAAAATGACAGTAAAATACAAAGACTGACATGAGATGCTACGTTTTCTCTCCACGGTTACCGTACCAAGGCGCACACATCAACAGGGGCAACTCCTTTCTCCTTGGTATACGGCATGGAAGCTGTTCTACCAATTAAAGTCCAAATACCTTCTCTGAGAATCATAAAGGATGCAGGGCTAAATGAAGATGATTGAATTCAAACTCGGCTTGACCAGTTGAATTTGATTGACGAGAAGAGGCTTACGACTGTCTGTCATGGTCAGATGTACCAAAAACGTATGATCAAGGCTTTTAACAAGAAGGTCAGACGTCAGGTATATCAGGTTGATGACTTGGTAATCAAGTGTATCATATTACCACAAGGTGATCCCAGGGGAAAATGGACTCCTACATATGAGGGACCATTTTTTATCAAAAACATATTCTCTGGTGGACCAATGATCTTAACCACTATGGATGGCAACGACCTTCCGCACCCTGTGAACACGAACATAGTCAAAAGATACTACGCATAAATAAAGACCCGCTTGGTCGACTGGCCTAGGAAAAAATTAGGGCATCACGGTGAACCGCAAAGGTTCGGGCAAAAATTATGGATAAAACAAAAAAAATTGTATACCCGACAAGTTGAAAACTCGAAAGGGCGGCTTAGGAAAAAAAGGGTATCCCAGTGTACTGAAAACCTGAAAGGGCGGTCCAGGAAAAATTTAGAGATTGAAAGCGTATGACTATGTCCCGTTGGATCACCTTACAGACAACTTTCAACATCGACTAACAAACTCAAACGAGTCTAATTAATCCAATCAACTTCGGACAAGGCAACAAGTGGATGAGACGCTCAGAGACACGAAGACTATAGCAGAATGGGAACCCCATAGGATTATTTCATAGCTATATTTATTTGTATCAATTTTCATTTTTTCTATGATAACATTCTCTTACTAGAATGCTCGTCTCATTGTACAAAAATACTTATTCAAGTTAATACAAAGATATCCCTTTGAAAGTGTAAAACTATCTGTTTTTCTTTTTCCGTGTTTTGTTTGCGAAAACGTCCAATGATTATTTTTGAACATATGCATTTGAACATGACTACTGTTTACAAATGAACAAAAAGAAGAGGAACAGAAAATAGAAAGACAATCACTAATGGCTTTAAGAAATAGGATAATATCTTTAGACTATTCCATAAAGTCCCCCGCAGATACTTTTCCAGCAAGAGCGGAAAATGGGACATCCCACTACAAGATCAATAACGTATCTCCAGTATACAACTTAATGATATCAAGCTCTCTCACATCTCCGGGGGAACAAAACTTCCGGTTACAGCTCCAAAGATTCCTCAGGGAAGGTCGCCCAATTTCTCAGGATTCCCCAGCAGGATTTCACGAGGTCTACAAGAAATATACGACGTTTCGCTTACACAACATAGTTTATTTCTCTAACAAATGGAATCTCATCAACTCTTAAAATTCAAAATATGAAGACTTGCACTCCTCATACCCAGCAGCACTTGGGGATTTATTTCCCCGACTCCAGCAACACTACGACATAACAATTAATGTGTCCATACATTATATCCATACATCATAACATTGACAACACAAATACATACGACACAATCTCATTTATTTTGAGAACATCATTGCACCATGGATTTCATACATCATGACATTTCATACAACTAACCTTTCATCTTTTCAGGAAATATCAATCAACATAAAATTATCGTCAAATTTTCAATAAGTAAATTAAATATCAATTCCCAAGAAAGGATTGGTAACCATCTACATAACAGATATTTCTTTCAGATCCCTGTCGGTTCAGCTTAAATCTCTCAACGGTTTATTCTTATTCTTTCCCACAAATGTTTCCTCTGGTTCAGATAAATCTCTCAACAATTTATTCTGATTCTTCTCCAGATCCCTGCCCGTTCAGCTTAAATCTCTCAACGGTTTATTCTGATTCTTTCCCGTAGATGTTTCCTCTGGTTCAGATAAATCTCTCAATGATTTATTTTGATTCTTCTCCAGATCCCTACCGGTTCAGCTTAAATCTCTCGAAGGTTTATTCTGATTCTCTCCCGTAGATGTTTCTTTTAGTTCAGATAAATCTCCCAACAATTTATTCTGATTCATCTCCAGATCCCTATCGGTTCAGCTTAAATCTCTCAACAGTTTATTCTGATTCTTTCCCGCAGATGTTTCCTCTAGTTCAGATAAATCTCTCAACGAATTATTCTGATTCTTCTCCAGATCCCTGCCCGTTCAGCTTAAATCTCTCAACGGTTTATTCTGATTCTTTCCCGTAGATGTTTCCTCTGGTTCAGATAAATCTCTCAACGGTTTATTCCGATTCTTATCCAGATCCCTGCCGGTTCAGCTTAAATCTCTCAACGGTTTATTTTTATTCTCTCCCGCAGATGTTTCTTCTGGTTCAGATAAATCTCCCAATGATTTATTCTGATTCTTCTCCAGATCCCTGCCGGTTTAGCTTAAATCTCTCAATGGTTTATTCTGATTCTTTCCCGCAAATGTTTCCTCTGGTTCAAATAAATATCTCAATGATTTATTCTGATTCTTCTCTAGATCCCTGCCGGTTAAGCTTAAATCTCTTAACGGTTTATTCTGATACTTTCCTGTAGATGTTTCCTCTAGTTCAGATAAATCTCTCAACAATTTATTCTGATTCTTCTCCAGATCCCTACTGGTTCAACTTAAATCTCTCAATGATTTATTCTGATTCTCTCCCACAAATATTTCTTCTAGTTCAGATAAATCTTCCAATGATTTATTCTAATTCTTCTCCAGATCCCTGCCGGTTTATATTAAATCTCTCAACGGTTTATTTTGATTCTCTCCCATAGATGCTTCTTTTGGTTCAGATAAATCTCCCAACAATTTATTCTGATTCTTCTCCAGATCTATGCCCGTTCAGCTTAAATCTCTCAACAGTTTATTTTGATTCTTTCCTGCAGATGTTTCCTCTGGTTCAGATGAATCTCTCAACGATTTATTCTAATTCTTCCCCAGATCTCTGTCGGTTCAGCTTAAATCTCTCAACGATTTATTCTGATTCTTTCCCGCAGATGTTTCCTCTGGTTTTGATAAATCTCTCAATGATTTATTCTGATTTTTCTTCAGATCCTTGTCGGTTCATCTTTAATCTCTCAACGGTTTATCCTGATTCTTTCCCGCAGATGTTTTCTTTTGGTTCATATAAATCTCTCAATGATTTATTCTGATTCTTTCTTAGTAGTGCTTTCTCCGCTTCAGATAAATCGCTCCAAAGATTTGTTCTGATTCTTTTCCAGTTGAAATCAAGTTTAGACTTAGTCCATTCACTACAAGAAAAATGATAGATTGGGACGGTTATTTTGGCTGATTACGACGGTTAAAACCGTCGCAATTTACAATCTACGACGGTAGAAGTACCGTCGCAGAATCGTGCGTCCCCAGCCTATTTCGCGACGGTTGCAAAAACTGTCACGCACAACAGATAGCGACGGTTATATATCGTCGTGAATTTGACTTTATTTTTTGTTTTTGTTGTTGTTTGCGACGGTTACTCTACCGCCGTAGGTTAGAAATTGCGGCGGTTTTAACCGTCGTAATCTGATTTATAAATTTCAAATAATATTTTTATTTAAATTATTATTTAGTAAAATAATTTTAAATATAATATTATTTTACTATAACATTTTACTATTATATTTAAATTATTATTTACTTTAATATTTTTTTATTTATAGTATTTTTATTTTATTTTCTATCACTTTTCAACATAATAAAGTTAATTACAATAAAAACATTTAATATCAAATAATCATCAATAATATCAAAAAAATGTGATCAAAGGTAAAAAGAAGTGCAAATTTTACCAATAAACAAGAAAAATTCAAATATCATCAAAGGCCAAATTTCATTTTAATATTTACATTAGTTTGCTACAACTTGAGAGAATTACAAAAAATGTTACAATATTCTACAAAATTACATAGATTCAGTCAATCACATAGATTCAAGTCAATTTAAATATCCACTTCACAAACCTAATCCCTCACATAACAATTTCTAACAACTTTAAGCTAACAGTTATCCATTTCAATTGATATTCCTAACAGTCAGGCCCTAATAATATTGACGATTTTAACTCTTTTTCACACTAACAATTAGCTAACTCAAATTACAATCAGCAACTAACTCTCAGTTTCATTCAAATCTAAAGCCATCCCATCCTAATAGCCAACTATACACAACCTCTCTACAATATTCTACACAGCTTCGTCAACCTTCATCATCAATGGCATCATCGCGACTTCAAGCTTGAAGCATTCCCTCTATTTCAACACCAATCACAACAACAAACTTCAATAATTGAATTGTACCGAATCAATAGAAAATACGTGTGAATCGGAAATAATAGAAGAATGAGGAATTAAGAATGCATACCTGAATCACGATTGAAGCGTTGGCGGAGTGACTCCGACGTGTAAGTATTCTTTCTTCTCTCATCATTTTTGTGATGAACTCCACTAATCAAATTAACCTCATTGATGAAATTATCCACCCATTGCGTCGAGTTAAAACTAAGCCTTTTAACAGCCACAATATTACCATCTGGCATAACTCCCTAAAATGAAAGGAAAAATCTATAAGCACTTAACAACAATAAGGTTGTAAGAAGTTACAATAAGATAAGATCAGAATATACTTTATAAACTGAACCTGATCCTCCTTGTCCTAGCTTATTGTCATCATTGAAGTAATTTGTTGCTTTTTCAAGAATTTCATATGGAACATTTAGCTTGGATTTATTCACTGTATCCAAAAGTGTCCCAAATTGTTTTCTCTCTAGTAAAAAAACACACACACATAGCAATAACTTTTAGCACAAGTATTTTGGAAAAAAGTAATTCTAGTCTTTAAATATTAAACATGTGTACCTCTTCTTTTCCTCATTACATTCTTTCTTATAAAGAAACCCATTGTTGCAGTAACCAAAAGAAGAGCCAAGACAGCAGAAGATGCAGCCAATATTATAGCCATTTTTCGGTGTCCTAAAACACAGTTTCAAGCTTCAATCATGTTCTTATCATAATACTGACCATGGTTATAAATTGCGGTCCGCAACGCAATTGCGGCTGTAATATTGCTAATGCAGTAGCTTCCACAACCGTATTGGACTGCAATTGCAGTGTGATTTAAAACCACGCGTCCGACTATATTATGAACCGCATCTAACAATGTCGCTCAAGTTTTATCACAAAATGTCGCATCTTCACTTTCTTCTTTTTTCTTCTTTTTATCTTTACCCTCTTCCGCCTAAATGTGAAGAATCGTCAACATAGAATTTCACTAGATAAAATGTAGGTAAGCCAACAATGTAAATCAAACAAGAAAATATTTCCTGCTAAAACTAATGAGTTAACCCTGCCTTGTTAACAAGAAAAAATAAAGGAAAGAATTGTAGGCATAGGTTCTCTACCAGGAACTTTTTCTCTAGTTCTTCAAAGAATGCCAGTTTTTTCGCATCTGCCACACAAATATCTTAATCAGTATAAAGTAAAAATAACAAGGCTTCATCATTATTATGAGTAAAACAGAGATTCATATCATAACTAGACTAACATTTACAGATAATTAATAGATTGATAAAATAAAAAGAAAAAGTTCATAAGAAATCACCAGCTTCAGGGTTCCATCGAAACTTTTTCCGGCTCAGCATCTGCTTAGATTTACCTGAAATCAACTTTCGGACTAAATTACTTGTTACCAGGAACCGCAAATGCATAACAAAAAGTAGAAGCATTTTTCTACAATAAAATAAAAACACAACCACTGCCTTAAAAGCCTATCCCATTATTCACACCTGGAACCAACTCCTTAACAAATTCGTCGTAATATAAAACCTGAGACAGCGAATCACGAGTGAACGCGATCTTCTTCTTGTCAGAAAATCTTTCTACGTGCATCCTTTTGCGCCCTGACAATGAAACAATATGTATTGGAAATCTCAGATTTTGTAATGACAATCTGCCAATATGTATCATGTAAAGGCAATTGAATTTGAACCTTTTGATTCGGTGTCGTCCAAGAGATAAGGAGCCGCTTTAAAATAACTATCAAAACTCAAATTCCATTTAATCAAATGTTTCATACTAGCAACATTTTCGCCGAGTTTTGCATCAGGCAAATTAATATCCTGTAACATCAGATTGTTAAAGACGAGCATTAAGCAGCAAAGAGTTAATTACGAAGTGTGAATAGAAATACATACTCGGAAAAGATGCACAATATGTTACCTCGAGAAAAAGTACAAATGGCTCTGGTCGTGCATAATTTTGAAATCCGCCGCGTCCTCGTCCTCGTCCATATCCTCTGCCAGCCATTTAAGCTGAAATTCGACAAAAAGCTGTTGAAGAAGCGACGTAGCAGTGCTGAGTTCGGTGGCAATTGCAGCAATTTGAACCGATGTGTATTCGTGCGGTGGCAGAGAAAATAAGTTGAACCAAATGTTAGGCTAGGGTTTTAAACTTTTAAGAGGTGACAATTTGGGTTTTTAAACTCTTAATTAAAATCATTGTAAAAAAACTAATAACTTTTTCCGAATATACTGTTAAAGAAACATTCTAATCGATGTTTTATGAGCTTTTTAACTTTTTTACTGCGACGGGTGTTTTACCGTCGTGCCCATGAGATTTTTTAAAGGCTTTGGGTGCGACGGTTGTTTTACCGTCGTGAAATGAATTTTAGGACGGATAATTTTACCGTCGTGAAAGGTTTAAGGGTGCGACGGGTGCTTTACCGTCGTGATATGCCTTTTAGGATGGTTAATTTTACCGTCGTGACTAGTTGTTGGTGAAAAATCAATGTTAAAAGTGTTAAATGGGGGCCGACGGTTGTTTTACCGTCGTAATAATAATATTATGATGGTTAAATATACCGTCGCAAAATAAATATTAGGGACGGTTGGTGTCAACTGTCGTAAACACTGTCTCTATATGTCAATTACGACAGTTATCACATAACTGTCGCAATTTTTGTGTCGTTAAACACTAATTTTCTTGTAGTGATTCTGTGTCGACGGTCACCCTTGGATGGCACCTACAAGCCCATCTCTGGAAAATCTCCATCATTCCTCCAAATGGCATCTATAAGCCCATTCCCATTTCATCTTCGAGTGCAAATTTCTGGGCACTTTAGTGTCCAATCATCTTCCACCTTCAAGTCACGAATGGAGGATCCGCCAATCTAACTCTTCAGGTTAAAGAAGATTAAATAGGGGTAGCTGTTGTACCACAAAATTTTACCTCTCATTTATCAAAGTATTTTCTCACAAGATCTCCTTTGGTTCAAGACTGCACAAGGGTTGATCAGCTTAAGACACCTCCTTAAGCATTGATGACTGAAATTAGGGTTTGAGATTGCACAAGATTAATTGAACTTTTAATGCCTCATATGAATTTCATGGATCATTATGGACCCCCAATATTGCTCATGTCAAGTTTCAAGTCTTGGATCACATTTTTGCTCACTCAATTGATCAATTGACCTAAAAATCAGTTGTATTAGGGAAAAAGTCATTTGTGGCCAATTTACAGTCAAACTTCATAATTTTTTATCCATATCAATATTGTGAACTCCTATATGTCATTTGATCAAGTTTGGACTATAATTCCTCAAGAAATTTAATCAGATCATCAAAAGGGCAAAATGGTCAAAATTAGGGTTTTGATTGAGAAAAGGCAATTTCTGATTTTTGACCTAACAAATGGTTAATTGGTTTGAGACATGATTTCAATATTTCAATTGCATCATTTTAACCTAATGGCATTACTCAAAACATCCCTCAAGATCAATTGATTGATAGTTGATTTTCATCAACTGATCAAAAGTCAAATGTACACTAAAAAGTCAAACTTTGACTTTTTGGTCAACATCAAGTGTCAAAGATCACAATTCATAAAAACATGTAAAAAATATGAACCTTGTTCATCAAGAAATCAAAAAGTCAAGATTTCATTTTGAAAAGTCAAAGTTTCGAAACTTAGAAATTTTTCTAAGTGTTGAAAACTTCATGTTTTTTCACAACTTTGAGCCATTTTTTCACCATGATGCAAGATGATTCAAAAGAAACTTTCAACATGAAAATTGTAGATCTCAATGAGATATAAAACATTTCTTTACACAACTTCTCCTAGAAATGCATGGATTTAAAGTTATGATTTTGTGAATACATGTTCATGAAACTAAACACTTAGTGAAAATTTTGCCCTATTTGAGGCAGGATTTTGACCTAACTTCATGGCAATTTTTCACATAGTTCCAAGGGAAATTTTCAAAAGTGATTCAAATAGGGGTTGTAGAGCACACTACAAGCTTTTTAAAATTTCTAAGAACTCCTTAAGATCATGTTTGAGCAAGGAGAATCGAAGGCATGAAGTTGGCATTTCATTCTTGAATTATAGGTCATTTTCATGAAGAACAAGAATTCAAATCCATGTTTAGGCTGCACAATCTTTGCTTTGCAGGCCCCAAACTTGTCTAGCACTCCATAATTAATGTTTTGCACAGCTGATAGAGGCTTCAACTCAAGCGTTCAATGCATTGCCCATGCTTATTTCCATTTTAGGAAGAAAGTGCACATTACCATTTTGGAAAAGTAGCTTTATGCACAAAATCTGTTCTTGAGTTTTGCACTTGTTCTCTTATGATCATACACACTCTATAACCCATAAGAAACTTCTCTAAAGCCTCTAAACAACTCAGCCCATGCTTGTACTATACCTTGAAACCATATTCCCACTTTTCTTCAAAATCAAGTAACATAGCAATCAATCTATATCTTGTACTTCTGAACCTTTCAAGCCTCACATCCTTTTCCTTACTTGTGTACAAGTCATTTTCATCAAAACACACACATACACAAGCCCTCAAGCTCCCTAGAATTCAGAACTGTAACAAAATACTCCATTCTTGCATAATCTGACCAAAAACTTGAAACTCACATCTCCCTCGTGTGTTTCCAAGCCTTTTGGTTCCCAAAGCTTCTAAAAATCAAATACAACTCATCCCTGACCATGTTTCATAACTGTAACTCCATCTTCATCAACCTCCATAACCAAAAACAAAGCTCTGCAAGTTGACTTCTCCAGAACTCCTTAGCCATTTTCAGCTCAAGCCAACCATCACATTAGCTTCCTGGGAACTTGAGGAAGCTAACCCAATCATTGGAACTCGTCAAAAGCTGCTCAAGCTCAAAACACGATACCCTCTTGCAAGGTGAGTTTTCTGACTTTTGAACTCTTTATATAGGCATCATTAATGTTTAATTTGTGAATGAAAAATGTAGATATCATTGCCCTGAAGCTAACCATGTCCATAGTTTTCATTTATGTTGCTTGAGCATAGAGAGTTTTAAGATTGAAATTTCTGGAAAACTTAGGGTTCAGATTAAGGCCAATAAAATTCATGTTTGTCTTTGATCTATAGTTTTAATGCTTTACATTTCTGAAATCTTGAGGAAATTTGCCACAAGGTTCATGTTTACTTTTTTGTAAATGGATGAGAAATGAACAAGATGCAGGTGGTATGGATAGGCGCGAGGTTGAAGATGAAGTTATCTTCAGGAAGCATTTTCTAATATATATTTATGCTTTTATTATATGAACGGATGAAACAGGCCACCCCAGTGGTACAAGAAGCGTGCGCCTGTAACCAAAGAGACCTGGGTTTGAGCCCTAGTGGTACCCTTTTGATTCTTTTTTTCATATTTTCTCTCATTTTTTTATTTGAAGGCATGCGTTGGGCTCCCTTTTGTTGGGGCTGGTATTTTTGCTTATCTCATACTCCCTGTTTCACTTTCATACATCCTGGCCCATTTTCTTTCTTTTATATTTTTATTTTCTTTATTATTATTATTATTATTATTATTATTAATATTTTTATTGTTATTAATAAAAATCCAAAAAATATTTTTTATTTTATTATTTATATTTATTTAGTTTATTTTTCTTCATAAAACAAAAGAATAAAAAAACATTTCTTTAATAAATTAATTTCCATTTTTTAAATAATTAGATAACTAGTCTTAATTATTATATATTATTTTCTTGTAAATTAAAATTAATTTAGAACTTAGGACTTTTATTTAATTATTTTTATTTACTAATTTAATCAAATTCACAAAAAACCCTTAAAAAACTTGTTTTCTTTAATAAATTAATTTCTTTTACTAATTTAATTTTAATTTTCTTATTCTAGTCAATTATCTTATTTTAATTTAATTAGGTCAAAACTTTTAATACAAAAAAGTCCATTCCTTATCTATTCATACTTGTACATTATATTCATTTCATTTCTTGTACATTTATTCAAATTCAATATGGTTGTAATAGATAATTAGGGTTTTAATTTCTTGTAATTCCCCATTTGTAATTTGTATATCCCCTCCCCTAATGATGTAATAGCTTAGTATTTTTATTTTCCGTAATTTAATGCTTTATATATAAATGCTAGTAACTAGGGTTTGTATGGAAAGATTAAAACCAACAAATAGCAAACCCTAATCAAGACAAATCAAGCATGAAAAAAGTGACACTTGCACACTTGAACCCTTAGGGTAAATTCACTTTGTTGCCTTATAAAATTGCCAATTTATGCATGTGAGGTATCTTAGCAAATACAAGCCAAAATACAAGATCATAGTCCCTCGATGACGCTATCAAAGTTGCCTTTCAAAAATGATCTTAGTCTTTTAAAGAAAATGCTAAGATATCTTACAACATTGCTAATCATGGCTATACGATGACCCTTGCCCGTCCCTTTTACATCTAAAGATAGGGTTACTTACCAAATCAATGGTAAGATAACAATGTCAAAGGAAAGAGGAAATAAACATGAAATACTTTTGAGTAGGTAGATTGTTCCTAGTTGCTTGCTCAATTTCAAAACCAAAAACATCCTTGCTATTTTCAAAACAAACATCAACACTTTCAAAACATCTTACAAGCTTTAAACATTTTCAAAAGATCAACACTTTGTATACATTCTTACGAATGAGAATCATTACAAAGTTTGCCTAAACGATGGCGCCTTTTCAAAATACTTTCAAAAACCACACAAAACATATTTTCAAACAAAATAAAGTGATCTAGCAAGTAACTAAGAGCCCGTAGATAACTACGAATGAAAAGGGTGCTAATACCTTCCCTTTTCATAATCTACCCCCCGAACTTAAGAAAACATCTCAAAGGTCTTTCCTGTTCTTTTCAACCTTTCCTTTTGGATAAAAGAAAAGTCGGTGGCGACTCTTGCTAACCGCAACATTTGCAATAAAATGCAAAATGACCAAGTCAGTTCTCCCACCGTGTTACACAGATGAATAAGA